AGCTCTGGGGATCCCTTGGCTCTGTGTGATGAATTTGCCAGAAGGCTAGAATGGATAGTGGGAAAGGATCCTGGAGATATCCAGGGCGGGCTTCCTAATTTTTCAGATGAGGAGACAGAATGGAGACCTGAATTACTTGCACCCCATGCCCCCTTGTACCTCCCTCTCTAACATCTGATGCTACCTGGCCTGAGTGGGCTGGCCCCCAGCAGTGTCACGCCATTGGCCGGCTGGTGATTCCTTCCTAGTCATGGTAGGGTTTGATCACTACAGCAGCCCTGTCAACACTGGTCACTCCAGAATGTGGATTTCATCTTTAACCCCATTGCTGCCATGGATATATTCTGCTCTAGATCCATCCTGCGTTCACGCCAAGACCCCCTTTCATTCGAGAACCTTCTCTCTGGCTGGTTTTACTTTTGTCACTTTTATTCTCTCAGAAGTTTCCCTGTTTCTCTTCAGGGCCCTAGCTAACTTCCATGTGAGTGCTCCTTGAGTATCTTTTAATAGATTCTTCATTTCTTAGATAACTTTGCTGCTTTCATTTCTTTTCGTTTCTCCCTGTTTTTGGCATTTCTGTTCCTAATTTTTGCACTTCTGGCTTCGGTTGGTTATCTTATCTTCAACGGCTTGCTTGCATATATCTGTTCAGAGTGGCGACTTCAGTTTTTCTTTTGACACATGGTTGTTTTTCAGGGGAGGCAGTGGAAGGTGAGTTTTTCCCCTCTCTCCTGTGGATGTTATGTTCCTTTTGTTCATTTTCATAATGTCGGGGTGTTTACAATATAATCAGCTTAATGGGATCCTTTTCCGTTGTCCTGGCAAAGTCTGGTCACTTCAGTAAGTTTTGTTTTCATGGGGGGAGGTCCCCTCTTATTTCATTATTCTCTCTTGTTTTGCAGGACTCTAAATTTTCCCTTATTTTTTCTTTTTTCCCCTTCACTCTCCAGTGGCCAGAGGACCTTTCTTCCTTCCCTTTTGACTTTTTTTCTCCCTCAGAAGCTTAATATTCAGCTGACCTTCTCTTAAATCCCATGCCTGGCACTTTAAATGGAGTGAGCTTAGACCATCCTCTCTCCTGTTCAGCTCAGGTCTGACTCCAGGGTGACTCCTCAACATAGTCACTGCCCCTCTCTGTGCCCCTGGCAGAGAGGGGAAGGACCACAGTGTGAAATAATTTCAGAAAATGAAAAGGCAGGAAACACAGCCGAGTAACAGGATTTGTACCCCTTCCTGGTGAGGGTGGACTCCTTTGGTACTTATGCACTTGAAATGACTGGTCCCAATCCTATCCATTCTATACAAAAGGCCAGGGGGCTTCCCATCTCCATTCAAAGGTTACTCTATTGTTCCACTAAACTACAAGGAAGTAACTGAAGGAGGTCACTCCAAGCAAAGATCAAAGCGACCAACCACCCCTCTGACACTCATTTAAAGGGTTTACTGATAAAAATCCTCACCTGGGGAAACAACCTTTCTTCTCCTAGTCAGGTTCCTCCCCCTATTGTCCTCTTACTTCTGCATTTATCCTATTTGATCTTAATCCCATCCATTCTTGAAACATCCCTGCAGAGACTGCCTCAAGCAGCCAGGGTGGATCGGCTTCCAGCAGTCACTCTCTTTAATATGCCTTTGCAGAAGTTGTTCTTGGTCCAGAATTCTCTCCCCACAATCAGGTCCATCTGGTGGAGCTCAAATGTAACCCTCTCTTACTTTCTCTAATCCAACCAGACAGACTTGGCATGCCTTCCCGGAACACTGAAAGAACTCACTATAACGTTATATTACATTATGTTGTTATATTATGATGTGACACGGCATTATAGTGAATTATAATTTATTCTACTATAATTACTGTCTTCCTAGACTGTTAGCTCCTTGGAGAAAAGATCTGTTTTTCTATTTCATTTTGTATCCTTCTTATTTGAAAATGTGGCAGGACATAGTAAAATCTCCAGAAAAGGTACAGATAAATGTAAAAGGGGTTATTAAAGGACTGGAAGCACAAAGACTAAAGTGTGCCCTCAGGGTCTGTTCTCCTGAGTGCTTGGCTAAGGATTCTGAGAGTTTAGGGAAGGATACTTAACAGAGGGACATATTTAAAACATTGAAACAGAGGCTGTAGTGGGGGCTGCAGGCTGCAGCAGGTTTGTGCACAGTCGGCCAGTGGCTGTGCTCCACTGTGGTGCGCTACCAGAGCACAAGTACACGGCCGTTTGGTTGGTGTGGGCCAACCTCACAGTGAGAGGAAACAGCCCCTTCTGCTCTCGAGAGACATTGTAACCTTCAGGTATGTCTCCTCTCTGAACGTCCTTTTCAACCGTTGAGTAATAAATCAGTTTCAGACCTTCTCCTGGGTCCTGCCGGTACCAGTACATGGCATTGTACCTCAAATTCTGTTCACACTCCAGGGTCACATCCCGGCCAGCCCGAGCGAGGCGGAATGGGGGCACCTGGTAGATTTCCGCACGAGTGGGTCCTGTGGGGTGAGGATACAAAGGCTGGGGACAAGGCCCAGAAGGCAACCCGATGCTGCTGTGAGAAGGTGCTGGAGGGGGGTGTGCACACCCAGGACAGGAATCTAAGGACTGGGTGGGTGTTGCACTCACCTGCTCCCAGGAGACAAAGGGCCACGAAGCAGAGACCCCCGCTGCCCATGGCAGGGACAGGGTCTTTGTGAAGCTCCAGACAGAGACTCTGAGAGAGGCCTAGGGAAGAGGCTGGGATCTAGGGCTCCCCCTGGCTCAGCAGGCAAAATGTGTCCTTGCTAGGAAAGAACTGTCACAACTGATTCTGCAGGTGGGGTGAGTAAAGCTCAGAGCGATCAAGCCACTTCTCTTCTGTCTAGAGTTCTCCAAATCCGTTCTAAATGGGCAAGTGCCCATGTGGTGAGAAAACTGAATTCCCATTTCCTGGTCAGAATCATATGCAGAATGCACACTAGCTGTGATGAGAACTAGGAAGAGAAATACTACACAGGCAGAATCTACTACCAATCTATCAACTGCCATAGCCCCCCAATACTGTTAAGTGGGGAACTTGAACCACAAGAAGAGGATCAGGGGTTCTTTTATTATAAAATAAGGCCAATTCTTTTCACCCCCTGTATTTATTATAATCGACACAGTAGAGATGGAGTGAAGGCTGCTCCAGTAATTTCAGCAATGGAGAATTTCAGCACACCCTCCCCTAGGGCAATGGATTAGAGCTGGGGTTTGGGAAAGTGCCTGGGTTTGAGTCCTGGAGCTGCCATTTAGCAACTACGTCACCTTGGGCAGGTTTCCTAATGTCCATTTGACTTTATTTTCTCATCTGTGAAATGAGTATGATGAGTATTTGCTTCAAAAGATATATTAATGTTGTGAACATTATACAAAAAAAAATTTAGAACAGTTCTTAACACAGAATAAGCACATGTTTGTGTTTGTTAACATTTTCTGGGCCTAGCATTCTAATGCACAGGATTTAGGAAGTTAACACTATGTCAAGGAAAAACAGGCATTTACTGACAGGATTGCACCAGCTAGGTAAAATATCATTTCCCAGCATTGGATTGAAATGGATACAATGAGTGTGAATTTATTAATGGATGTGGTTATTTGGACAGATAAATATTTGTTTTATTTTTAGGTCTGACATCATATGAAATAAAAGACACTTTCATGATGAAATTTGTGATTTGTGGTTGGAATCTGTTGGCTTAGAAACTGGTGAACTGTTGCTGCCTCCTCCTGGCAGAAAGAGAGAAGAGGAAGAGAGAGACAGACAGAGGACAGAGGGAGGAGAGACAGGAGAGAGAGAGAGAGAGAGAGAGAGAGAGAGAGAGAGAGAGAGAGAGAGAAGAGGAATAAAGGGAGGGAGGGAGGGAGGGAGGGAGGGAGAGAATGATGTAACTATTTAGAATGAGAATTGTTAGCAGGTGCAGCAGTGTGGATAGAACTCTGGGAAAGAATGCTTTCTGACAAGTTGCTCCCAATGTGATTGGGTCAAGGCTTCAGGTTTCCAGTCACAGCTGCAAAGTTGAGGATCTCATTCCTCATCCAGGGGATCTTAACTTTGTTGGTACCATGGACCCCTCTGGCAGTCTGGTAAATCTCAGAATGATATTTTAAACTCATAAAATAGAATACATAGTAGTACAAAGGAAACCAATTGTTGTGAAATGCAGTTATTAAAATATTTTAAAAGAAATTTACAGTATATGAATATGTGTTTATCCTTAAAATTCATTCAATAAAATATATCCTGGTGAGTCTGAAAACTGCCACGATTTCAAATAAATGATATTTAGTCTATGTGGTGTGATAAGAAACTGCCTGCAACTTTCTTATCACCTGTAATGTATGCAAAGATCTCTGACTCAATACCAGGAGAGGAAAATATTCTATATCTTGACTGTCATGCTGCTTACATGGCTGTAAAAATTTGTCAAGATGTATTGGAATACATAGGTACATAAAATGGGCACATCTTGTGTGTATGGTATGTTGCTTTTAACAATAAAATAAAAATTGCATGATTGGAGCATTCCAAGAATGGAGTTTCTGAGTTTCTGCTAAGTTTCTATGGCAGGGATGGTTGTGAGAACATCATGAAACCCTTGAAGTGGCCCAGGGCTCATGGAATGTGCTGGGCCAGATGACCAGGCTCAAATGACAGACAGTTGACCCTCCAGTCCTTATTTCTGAAGGCACAGTTTTGCCAGGTGAAAACCACAGAATTACATATTTTTATAAAGATTGTGAGAAATCCATCCATTTCATGGGTATAGAAGGTATGTTGGGTCTCCCCTTAACCTGAGCCCCCTTTTCCAAAGTCCTTCTCCTTCCTTGGATTTCAGTCCCCAACAGTTGCATTAAACAGCCCTTTCTGCTCACTTAGAGTTGCCGTTTACAAATTTTTCCTTCTAGTGTATGCTCTTTCGAGTTGGGTGTCTGTTCATTCCTACCCACCTAATAGACCACTCATTTCCTGAGCTGAGTCCATGATGAGTTTGTGTTCTAAGAAAAGCTGACATTCAGCACTGTGGATTGGCTGCTGGCACAGAAGTACAGAGCTGCGTCCCCTGGCTCGGTGGACTCTATTTCCAGGCTGCACGGGGAGTTTTGGGGGCATTTCGGTGAATATCGCTCATTGATCATGTCTGTTTTCTCAAGAATTTCTTCATTCTGTAGGTAAACCAAAAACTTGAGCTCTTCTCCCAGCTTCTGACGGTACCAATAAACATAACTATGTCCTTTTATGGGGACACAACCCATCTTCGCGTTCTGTCCTTTTCCTTTGACCAGATGTCCAGGACTCTGGGTGACCTCAGTGTCCACGGAGCCTGTGGGGGAAGAGACAGAAAGTGGAGAAGCCCTTGAGGCAGCCTGACATCGTGGGCACAGGAGAAGGGCCTGGCACTGGAATCAGACAAGTTCACAGCAGGAACCTACCCGCTCCCCAGACACAGAGGGCCACACAGCAGAGAAGTGTTAGGCACATGGTTGGCTCAGGAAAGGAGCAGCGGCAGGTGGCCTTCCCTCCTCAACAGCCTCCTTGTGACATGGTTGCTTCCCATAGGTGTCAGAGTCCACAAGTACATGAGACTGAAACCTTGCAGAGGAAGTGGAGGCAGAGAGAGCTGCTGAAAACAACCAGTGTGGATTCCAAGCTGCTTTTATCTTCTTTTCCCCTGACTCTGCTCTTTCACTATTTTTGTTATAAAGTCACCTATTCATTATTTACTGATTTGCCTGTTTAACCTGTCAATTTGCCTCCCCACTCTTCCCTTCCACCTCAGAGGATGAGTCATACAGCTTGGGGTATATCAATCATAGCTTTTACTGTACTTATGAAACCATGTAGCAGCTTTTTACATTAAAAAGTTAAATGTTGAATACACAAAAATTTATGTGTGGCAAATATGCAAGCGTCTAGGGAAACAATAAAATGAGTATGCTTCCCTGAACCAACCAGCTTAGGAAATAGATTACTGCTAACAATGTTTAAGCCTGTTTTATTCTTTCAGATTTCATTATTCTTTCTTCACCATTCCCAGGTAACCATAACCCTGAAGTTTGTATTATAATTCACTTGTTTTTCATTACAGGTTTTAGCACTTGTGTAAAAATCTATAAATTATATATTATTTAATGTTGTATGTCTTTGAAATTTCTCTAAGGGGGATCCTTCTGTTCATTTTTTTCGGTGACATGTTCATTTTTCATTCAATGCTCTGTGAAATTAAAATGATGCATATAATTTTAGATAATTATTTTTTAATAATATGTAGCATTTCATTCTATCCAGTCACTAGAATTTATCATCCACTCTTGCTTTGGTGTACACAGTTTCTCACCTGAAGTAACTGAAATATCTAACAATGCCTTCCCATGTGGGAAGATCTGTGCCTGCTCTTATGTAGGGTATTTCACAGAAATGTCCACATCACCCCCTAGTGGTCAAAGGAGTAAATTCATCCGATATCCTCTGATCGCTTACTGCCTTCACCTTCCCTGAAATGCTGAAGGAAGCAGGAGTCAGGTACCTTGGGTATCAGAGCAGAATTAGGGAACAAGCAGTCCTTGGTGTGGTAACCTGTGCATAACTAGTAACAATTCTATGCAACTAACAATTGCATAGAATTTTTACTAGTACTTAGTCACTCAATTACTCAGTTATCCCTCTAGTATTGATTGATGGCTGATCAGTATAATTTGCCTTTTCAACCTTTTCTAGCCAACGTTCAAGATGAATCTTAATCCCTCTCCTTAAATCTCTCTCCTAAGTCTTCTGCTCTTTTCTGTGTACATTCTAGCATCAAGGGACCCTATGCTCTTTCATTTTTCCAATTATGCTAAATGCCCGAATTTTTACCTCCCATCCTGATCCATTTTCTGAGTTCATGGCTTATACATAGAACTGCTTCCTTCACATTTCCAGTCAGACTGTGTCTCAGAGGCACCCCGTTCTCAAGTAAACCATGGTCTTCCTCCCATTTGGTCCCCTAATTCATCGAGCTGTGGCGGTCTTCTCCAGTCCTCCCTATCAATTGCTTTTCATGATAACCAATTACCAAGTTCTTTGATTTTACTTCTAACACATCTTTTAAATTTCTCATTTCCCTGTTTCTATCACCACCATCATCATTCTGGCTACGCTGTCACTTGCCTGGGCACCTGTATGAGCTAATTCTTTTCTCTGTACTATCTCTCGCCACACTGCCTGTTATTTTTAACACTGTAGGACAATTGAAAAACATGCATGTGCGTGCATGCGTGCACACACACACACACACACATAAAATAACAACAGACACTAATCTGATTACTACAGAAGTAAAATCCTTAAATGCTCAATGGCAGGTCAAAGGGTCTATGAGAATTCTCTGTATCTTCTGCTCAATTTTGCTGTGAACCTAAAACTTCTCTTAAAATTCTATGAAAAACAAAACCTCAATGACTCCTATTAAATTTTATGTTGAACACATTATATGTTTTGATAAGGTCATGAGTGGTCTGATGTGTAATGTCTGCCAACTTGCCTCCCATTTCACTTGTACTTTCACCCTTCCTCACTCTGCTCTTGCCACATGACTACATCATCCCATTCATTAAGCACACCAATTTCTTTCCTGCCTGAAACATTTTGCACTGGATCTTCCAACCATGAGCTATTCCCCATTCCATTTAATTAATTCCAGCTCTTTTTTAGGATTTGCCTCGTGTGTGTGTGTGTGTGTGTGTGTGTGTGTGTGTGTGTGTGTTGGGGAGATGGAGACATGGTCTTTCTCTTGCTCGGCTTGAGTGGCTCAGTTGGTTGAGGATCATTCTGTGCACCAAAAGATTGCTGGTTTGATGCCCTGTCAGAGCACATACCTGGGTTGAGGTTCAATCCCCAATCAGGGCATGTACAGAAGACAACCAAGTGATATTTCTCTCACATCGCTCTCTCTCTCTCTCTCTCTTTCTCTCTCTCTCTCTCTCTCTCTCTCTCTCTCTCTCTCTCTCTCTCTTTCCTCTTCTTCTTCCTCCTCTTCTCCTTCTCCTTCTCCTTCTCCTTCTCCTTCTCCTTCTCCTTCTCCTTCTCCTTCTCCTTCTTCTTCTTTCTATGTCCTTCAGTGAGGGGGAAAATAGAGTCTATCTCTTACTCCATCCTCCACCCATCACAAAGGTTAACTTGATTTCAAATACAACCTATTCTAGGGAGTAGAATATAAATCCAGAGCACAAAAAGAAAGTGCTACACTTTAAAAGAATTGGTCACTTATACCATGTGGGTTTTTATTTTGGTGGTACTAGTCCAAGGAGGATGGGACACAAATTTGGATTGGATAACATTCAGTGCTATTGCCGTATTCCCCTAAGATAACACATGTGGGCAGTGGGCTGTGTCGTTAACAGTCAGCTGGATTAGAAGAGGTGAGTTTGCACACAGCATCCCTCCCCACTAACTGACATGGGAATACCATGCTCCTAAGCCTAATGCAGAGGAGGAAAATACGTGACTGTTGAGAGGGGTGTGTTATCACTGGCAGGTTTCATGCCAGAACCTAAAATGCTCTTATCTTTCCCTTGCCATTGGTGAAAAAAGCAGTGGGATTATCTAAATATTTTACTAGCTTTCTTCTTGCAGCTGAAAATGCCAACAGAGTAGGAGCTGCAATTAAAATGGGACCCTGGTTTCAGTGGCAATGAACATAGTCTGAGACGAAGACACTGAAACCAGGTGGGTATTTAATCACCAGGAACAAAATGAACATGGTCATCATGCAGATATAATGCAGCAGCATGTCCACTGCTGAATTGGTTCCCATCTTATTCTGCTCATTTCTACGTAGGTCTGGGGCAAGGTCTTATTTCCACACCTTCATTTTCACACGTGGTTCTAAGTACCTACTCCCTGGTACTCAGTAGACAATGGTCTTTATCCTAATCTTGCACAAATTCTAATCCCTTAGGTATTTGTTTTAGTTTCTCTCCTGTTTTATCTAATTTGTATAGGGTTTGGTTAACCATAACCCTTGGTTCATAACACACAGGCATTATTGCTGATGCATGGTTATCCTTTGTTTAAAAATATAATAGGGACTTGTGAAACATCTTCCCCTAACTCTTCCAACAACATGCAAGGTAGACCTTGACAACATTTAAATTTAACTATGTGGTTCTCTCCATCCCATCTCCTGCCACTCCCCATCCAAGTCCTATTAAACACCACCCAGAATTTGTGTCATCATCATCATCATTCCTTGCCAGTGTGTGTTAGTAAATGTATGATAACCAGCTCTCTAGAGCAGCAGTTCTCAACCTGTGGGCCATGGCCCCTTTGGTGGTCGAACAACCCTTTCACAGGGGTCGCCTAAGACCATCCTTCATATCAGATATTTACATTACGGTTCATAACAGTAGCAACATTACAGTTATGAAGTAGCAACGAAAATAATTTTATGGTTGGGTCACAACATGAGGAAGTGTATTTAAAGGGCCAGAAGGTTGAGAACCACTGCTCTAGAGGAAATAAAACAAGACCTGATTTGTTGTGTCTGTTGATTACCATGGTGTAAATATTACCACTATGGCCCATTGACTTAAAACTACCAACATGTCACTGAAATTGGAGTTGGAAGAGATGTGTACAATCAGCAACTATGTGCTGGAAGCCAGTTCCAACAATAACTGTTTCTTGCTTTTAATATAATTTTATTGAATACTAGAGGCCCAATGCACAAAATTCATGCAAAAGTAGGCCTTCTTTTCCTCGGCTGCTGGCACTGGCTTTCCTCTGGCATCCAGGACCCTGGCTGGCTTCCCTCCAGCTGCCCGCCCGCACCAGGGACCTGGGCTGGCTTCCCTCTGGCCCTGGCTTTGTCCAGTCTAATTAGCATATTACCCTTTTATTATTATAGCTATGTGCAGTTATGAAAATTATTTTTTTAATTTAGTTGTTTTTAGCTTTATAAAAAGTGCATCATGCTTTACATAATCTTATCATGGTTAGTTTTTGCCCTGGTAATTTATATTATGTGGCTAAGATTCACCTTTAACATTGCTTATCACTGTAGTTCACTCCTTTTTACTGGTGTATCTAGTTTTCCATCACATGACTACCTTCTAGATTTAGTGGAATTTCTGGGTCATGGAATATAGGAATCATCAGCTATATGAGATAATGGCAAAGTGTTTCCAAATTATTTGTATCACTTATGCTCCCACCAGTAACCCTGTGGCTCCATACCCTCTCTAACAGTTCATATTTTTAAGCTTTTTCATATTTTGTTAATCAAATGGGTATAAACTTACATATCATAGTGCCTTAGTCAACATTTTACTGATCCCCAGTGAAGTTAATTATCTCCTCATCTGTTTACTGGTCATATATGTTTCTTCTATTAAATGGATATTACTATATTTTGCTTATTTTTTTTATTGAGTCATACAAGATTTATGGTCAATGCAATTTTTTGTTTTTTTCTAGCAAAGAATTTTTCTGAAGGGCTTACACTCACTGCTCCACTTATTTTTTTCATGGCTTCTGATAGAACTTTCTAGTTCTGTAAATAAGCCACGTTGGTCTAAACTCTTTTATATACTTCCTCTGCTCTTTCCCTCCTTTCACACCTTTCTCAAGAGCCAGTTCAACTAACGCCTTAGCTATGAAGGTCCTGCACGTAGACATACTAGTAGAGGGCACATGCCTTCCTTTGTACCCAGTCTTACCCTGGTCACTCATTAGTCAAAACACTACAAACTGTGCATCATCAACTTCTTTCACGAGTGCATCTCTCTGCTTGGCTGCCTTATGACTCTTTATCTCAAGGGCCTAGAGTGGTGACAAGATGGTGCTGAATTGTCTTGGGGAGCTGAATGTCAATATGATAGAAAATACAGTGTTTTATAGGAGCATTTAGAGATCTAGCTAGAGGATTATGTGCAGATCTAAGAGCATATGATTAACATATGGCAGAATTAGGGGAAAAATCCAGGTTTTATAATTTTTAAGCCCAATAATTTTTTCATGTTAATTGGCTATTTATTGGCCCAGCTCCATTCATATACTCAGATTCTGTCTCTCTCCTTTCCTCTTTCCTCTTTCCTCTTTTCTCTCTCTCTCTTTCTCTCTCTCTCTCCCCCCGCACAGATGTTTCCATCAGAGGAGCTGTGGTTTTCTCTCTGCACACCTCCTTCCACAGGGCTCCATGGGTTTGGTGGTGGGGAAGAGGGGCAAAGGTTCTTGCTTGGGCCTCTGATCTCTGCCCAGCGCTGTGTCACTAGCACCGCAGAGGTAGAAGCTGCTGTCTGCAGGATGGGCACTTGTCACCGTCAGAGTTGAGAATGTTAGATTCGGATGGATGATGGGAAACTTGGCCTCAGTAAAACCTTGTTCATATGTGACGGAGGAGCCCACATTGGAAGTCGCCATCAGTATGAGGCCCTGTTTGGGGAACTGACGATACCAAAACACAGTTGAGGCCTGAAGGTCTACAGGAAGGCACTGGATCTTCACAGAGGCTCCACTGATATGAATGGCCCTTCTTGGATGTTGAGAGACGAGAGCACCGAGCCCAGAGCCTGCTGAAACAGAGGTCAGAGAGATGAAGGAGGCCAGCATGGAACTCATGGCCTAGACCCCTCGCCTTTCTCCCAGCTCCCAGAGTCCTGTTTGTTTTGTAAAATCTTTCTGTCAGACTCCTTGGATCATAACCCCCCCGCCCAATCTACCCCCAATCTGGTCTGACTGGTGACTTCTCACTTTACTGTTTCCACTCCACAGCAGGTGTCCCCTCTCATTATGATCAGCACAAAAATCCACAATCTCTGGCTACCACTTCACTCATGCCAACACCTACACACACTCATTCAAGCTACTCAGATAATAAGGCTCATACAGGGCCCCAGAAGCAACAGAAGCAGTAGCATCTTCAGGTGCTGGCCTCACACCACAGGGCTCTCAAGGGAGGTGTGACCAGCTCCTCATCTTCATTCTTCCTTTCTACACCCCTAGGATGGATGTTACATAATCCCCAACATGCTCTCTTCTGCCCCCTGGTGGTAATCTGTGCCAATGATGCAAGTTTCCCTTGCTCTTTCTCCCTATCAGAGAACCATACACACACTGTTGAAAAGGGCCTTGGAAAAGTTCTCATTCAACTCCTAATGTTATAGAAGATACACTGAGACCTACATCAATTCAAGGATTAAAATGAGTATTTTAGACTTATTTAAGAAAATGGGTATATGTTTGTGTCATAAAGGGCATTATGGACAGTTCTTTACCTCTGTGTCATATCCTCAAAGTAACTAAGGTAAGTCCTGACAGTTAGTTTTTCTTCTTTATAATGCAAATACCTGCCTAAACTTTGACTGCTGAGGCGTCCACTTCAAATTTGGCTATCTTGAATAACACATGGCCAGATACAGGGGCTAGATAAAGAGCCAGGCAACAGGCAGCTTCTCCCTCCCTCTAGCCCCCCAGCCCCAGGCTCTTGGTTGATTTCAATAACTGACCACTTTGAGCTTTCTGCACTTTAAGTTCCTGCTTTATGTTTTAAATTCAACAACGAAGAGTGAGCCCATGAAAAACTAGGCCCCCACTCTCTACCCCAATAAAAGCTGAGGCTCTGGCCCATGTGTGCTGAGTCAATAAACCTGTGTCTTTTCAATGTTTCCTGAGGATTCTTGCTGAGGATGTCTTGCAGTCATAATAAGAACCACGATAATAACCAGCCACAATATTGGTTATCGGGAGGCTGAGCCCAGCGCACAACACTAAGACGACTCATGCTTGTTTATCTCCTAGTGGGTACTCTTGTGTTTGGCTTCTTTTATTCAACATTATGTTTATGAGATTCATCCATCTATGATTTTGAAAATAGTATTTAAATTTTTGCTATATTTTATTCTATTGGATAAATATAACACTGTTTCTCTATTGCATTATTGATGGACATTTGGGTATTTTCCAGTTTGAGGTCATGGTGAATAAAGCTGCTGGGATGGTAAGTTCTTTTCACATCCTTTTCTGTTTCCTCAGAATTCTGAATTATTTCTTGACTTAGTTAATATACAATTACAGATTGGCTTTCTGACTTGTCTAATTTACTACTGAGTACTTCCAGGATATTTTTGAATTCAGAAATTATGTTTCTTGTACCTAAGAAACATAACCACTCTTTGATTATATTTTTCTATAATTATTCTTTCTAGTTAATAGATGTGATGGCTTTTCATAACTTGTTATGGAAACATTTAGTGATATTTTAACTTTTTTGACTTTTATTTACTACAACAACTCTTACAGCTTGGTCATGGGAATGGGGATTATTAGGAAACTTTACAGCTAAAGGGTGCTTTTTAGTATCAGAAAAAAGTAAATGATTAAGATACTATAATAGGCTGCACAAATCTTAAGTGAACAGACAAGAGTTTTACAGTGGACACTTTTAAATCAAGTAAGATTTGCCTAGCCGGTATTGCTCAATTGGTTGAGCACCATCCCATGCACCAAAAGGCCCCTGGTTTGATTCCTGGTCAGGGCACATGCCCCCAGGTTTTGGGTTCAATCACCTGTTGGGGCACATGCCATAGGGAACCGATTGATGTTTCTCTCTCTCTCTCTCTCTCTCTCTCTCTCTTCATGATACAAATAGATAGATGGTAAATAGATAGATGTAGTTTTAAACCAACCTAGTGGATCACTGAAGTATCGTGCCATTCCACACAGCATGGTGATGGCAGCAGCTGCGTTGAGTGGCTGGTTGAGGTGGAAGAAAGTGGGCAAGGCTGGGTATTGAGCAGCGTGCCACCTGGCAGTGAAGCAGGGCTCAGACACGTTTGTGCACAGAGGGGAGGGGGCCGTGCTCCACTGTGTCTGCACTGCTGGCACAGAGATACACAGCTGTCTGGCTCTTTCGGGTGGATGTCACAGTGAGGGGAAAGAATGGCTTCTTCTCCCGAGAGGCGCGGTAGCCCTCTGCCAGGTCTCCCTGCTGAACGTCCTTCACAACTGTCGAGAAGTAGATCAGTCTCAGCCCTTGCCCTGGGTCCTGCCGGTACCAGTACATGGAGTCATGACTTAAGTTCTGTTCACAGTCCAGGGTCACATCTCGTCCTTCCTCTCTGAGCAGGTATTTTGGGGTCTGAGTGACGCCACTACGCACTGTGCCTATGGAAGACAGAGGACAGTTCTGGAAACAAAGCCCAAGAGGGTGCCTAGACTGCTGTTACGAGGGAAAGGCTTAGATCTGGAGCGTGGCACCTTCTGGACAGGAATTTGCTCCCTGAACCCAGACTCACCTGCTCCCAGGAGACAAAGGGCCATGCAGCACAGCATCTGGGCCATGGTGGGAAGGGGGTCTGCTTGGGCTCCAACCACTTGCAGGAAGACAAATGCAAGAAACTTAGCTCTGGGGATCCCTTGGCTCTGTGTGCAGAATTTGCCAGAAGGCTGGAATGGATAGTGGGAAAGGATCCTGGAGATATCCAGGGCGGGCTTCCTAATTTTTCAGATGAGGGGACAGAATGGAGACCTGAATTACTTGCACCCCATGCCCCCTTGTGCCTCCCTCTCTAACATCTGATGCTACCTGGCCTGAGTGGGCTGGCCTTCAGCAGAGTGTCACGCCATTGGCCGGCTGGTGATTCCTTCCTAGTCATGGTAGGGTTTGATCACTACAGCAGCCCTGTCAACACTGGTCACTCCAGAATGTGGATTTCATCTTTAACCCCATTGCTGCCATGGATATATTCTGCTCTAGATCCATCCTACGTTCATGCCAAGACCACCTTTCATTTGAGAACCTTCTCTCTGGCTGGTTTTATTTTTGTCACTTTTATTCTCTCAGAAGTTTCCCTGTTTCTCTTCAGTGCCCTAGCTAACTTCCATGTGAGTGCTCCTTGAGTATCTTTTAATGGATTCTTCATTTCTTAGATAATTTTGCTGCTTTCATTTCTTTTCGTTTCTCCCTGTTTTTGTCATTTCTGTTCCTAATTTTTGCACTTTTGGCTTCAGTTGGTTATCTTATCTTCAACGGCTTGCTTGCATATATCTGTTCAGAGTGGAGACTTCAGTTTTTCTTTTGACGCATGGTTGTTTTTCAGGGGAGGCAGTGGAAGGTGAGTTTTTCCCTCTCTCCTGTGGATGTTATGTTCCTTTTGTTCATTTTCATAATGTCGGGGTGTTTACAATATACCCAGCTTAATGGGATCCTTTTCCATTGTCCTGGCAAAGTCTGGTCAATTCAGTAAGTTTGTTTTCATGGGGGGTGGTCCCCTCTTATTTCATGATTCTCTCTTGTTTTGCAGGACTCTAAATTTTCCCTTATTTTTTCTTTTTTTCTCTTCACTCTCCAGTGGCCAGAGGACCTTTCTTCCTTCCCTTTTGACTTTTTTTCTTTCTCAGAAGCTTAATATTCAGCTGACCTTCTCTTAAATCCCATGCCTGGCACTTTAAATGGAGTGAGCTTAGACCCTCCTCTCTCCTGTTCAGCTCAGGTTTGACTCCAGGGTGACTCCTCAATGTAGTCACTGCCCCTCTCTGTGCCCCTGGCCGAGAGGGGAAGGACCACAGTGTGAAATAATTTCAGAAAATCAAAAGGCAGGAAACACAGCCGAGTAACAGGATTTGTACCCCTTCCTGGTGAGGGTGGACTCCTTTGGTACTTATGCACTTGAAATGACTGCATTCATCTGCCTCTTGATTTTCTGAAATTTTTTCACCAAAGCAAATGAAAAGAAACACTATACTCCGGATGCCCAACATTTGTTGAGTGATAAGATTTAAAAAAATATTCAATGAGATAACAAAGAGTTTAGATAATAGGTTTCTAATGACTCATCTTCTAAAGTCCAGGCAAATGTATTCAACTCTATTTTCACCATCTCTGGGATAGCCTACAGCTGGAGCTTTAAGTCCCAGCATCCCAGCTACCCAGGTGTTAGGCAACAAAACCAGGATGATTCCAGAATCATTCCGTATAAAAGCACAGTCCTTTGAGTATCACAAACCTGGTTTTATTTTCCCCCTCTCCCTCTCCCTCTCCCTCTCCCTCTCCCTCTCCCTCTCCTTCTCCCTCTCCCTCTCCCTCCCCCTCCCTCTCTCTCTCCCTTTCTCCCTCTCTCTCTCCCTTTCTCCCTCTCTCTCGCTCTCCATCTCTCCCAGTTTGAGAAAAACAACAACAACCCTGGAACCATGTTTTCTCATATTGAAAATAAAGACCACACTTCCTTTGCTTGATTATTTTGCTTTTTCACTAAAATTCAATATCTAAATCATGCAATGGAGAACTTGAAATAGAGTATGAAGTAAAGAAAGGAGAACTGTTAGTCAATAAATATTTAATCTGACAAATTATGTCACCTTTTGTGGATGACAGTCTTAGTTCATGAATATGGGCTGGGGGGTTCCTTGCTATTTCTACAGCCCTCCCCTATTCCCACCCTCACCCCGAAAAAAGCCTCACAGGTAATTTGTGCACTAGTCAGATGCCAGGTCCCTTCCTCAGCTGTGGCCTTCTCCCCACCCCCAGCTGGGGCTGTGTCAGGGCGGGGCCTGCAGGAGTTTGTGCCCTGGGAGGATGTGACTCTGAATTGGTGTGGACAAGGAGCTAGCACAGAAATACACTGCAGAGTCGCCCAGCTCTGCCAGCTGGATGTTAAAGAGGCTGGGCCCCTCTTTGGGAAATTCAGCCAAAAAGCGTTTTGTTGGCATTCCTGACTCGTCCAGGATTTCTCCTCTCCGGAGGTAAATCATGAATTTCAGCCCTTCCTGCAGGAGCTGCCGATACCAGTAGATGTAAATGTGGCCTTTCACTGGGTTGCAACTCAGGTTTGCCTCCTGTCCTCTCCCCAGGACCAGGCGTCTTGGATTCTGGGTGACGCTGCTGGCACTCGTGGGACCTCAGAGGAGAAGAGATGGCATGAGACAGAGTCCTGAGGGCAGAGAAGTTTGTAGCTTACAATGAAGCAACCCCAAGGCGAGTGCAAATAGCTTTGAAGTTGCCTGCGTTCATTTAAAAATTCACATGAATTTTGCTTTTTGGTCCATAATGAAATTTGTTTTATAGAAATGGCAATACCTTTCAGGAAATCTTTGGGCAACATGGAGGTCAGAGCATATTTGAGGCACAGCTAAAGAGCCACTGACAAAGGCCACTGATGCTGACCCGTTACCCAGAACTCACCTGCCCCCAGGAGCCAGAGGATCACCCAGCAGGGGAGTATGGTGCCCATGGCTGAGTTGGGCATGAGGGGAGTCCCTGGGCAGTGCAAAGAAGGGTGCTTCCTGCAGCTGCTCAGGGAGCTAGACCTCACAGCTGCCTCCCATGAGGTGGGTCTTCCTGTGACGTCACCATTTCTAATGGATCCTATTGTCTCTGGAGGTGATCTTGCATATCAGTTGAATGGGACATCCTTTTGCCTGAACTATACAAACATCCTGGCTTAGTATGTGTTACTATGGGGGCTAATGTGCAGGGAAAGCCAAGAGAGAGGAGTACAGTACCTTCATTATTGGTCCTTAGTTTAGGAATGATTAATTTTTACCGTATCCCTCCCCATTTTTTTCTTATCTTCTGTTTCTTTATTTTCACTTCATTGGCTCATGTTATCTTTCCATTTTCTGTTGCTGAGCAGAGGTAGTGACCAGATGTGATATCTAGGTTCCCAGGAAAGTGGAGACCAGGGTAACTGGGGAAAAATCAGACTGTTTCCTTCTTTCCTCCTTCACCTCAGTCATTTCAAGCATCTTGAGGAACTTTATTTTATGGTTTATAATTTATTTCTCTCATCTCTTGTTATTCTATGTGCATTTTTTTTGTTCATCCTCACTTGAGGATATTTTTTCCATTGATTTTTAAAGAGAGTAGAAGGGAGGGAGGGAGAGAGAGAAACATCAATGTGAGAGAGACATCGATTGGTTGCCTCCCACATGCATCACGACCGGGACCAGGAATGAACCTGCAACCCAGGTACCTGCCCTTGACCGGGAATCAAACCCAAGACCCTTTGTTTTGTGAGCTGATGTTCTAACCACTGAGAAACACTAGCCGGGGCTGCAAAATTCGAGCTCTCCCTCTCACCTTGTGTCCCTAGATACTATTTGTCTTCCTGTATTATTCTCTTTAATCACGATGGGTTACTGATGTTTGAGGGGTCTTCCTTCCTTAATCTTTCCACATTGAATAAACATTATGTGAAAAGAAGGCATAGTGAAAAGAAGATTCAAAGAAAAAAAAGTCAAAGCAAAAAAAAGGCACCCTATTAGAGGAGATGCAACCTATACATCTAGAACCCGCTAGGCTTTGAGTAATAAATAAGATCTATCAACCTTTAGTGTCTCAGTAATGGCTCAAGGCCTTGCCTTATTAATAGCAGGACCCCAAGGCCTCCCTAAAAAGCTCTCATTATTTTGGGAGGAATTCAGCAGTTTTCCCCAAATATATACTCAATCAAAAGGCAGCTGCCAACATCGCTTGGAGTCAGCACAGTTATCTCTCCTGGAAATACTCTAAATTCTCATGAATGCTTTTTTAGAACAATATATTTTTATTGGTTTCAGAGAGGACGGGAGAGGGAGAGAGAGATAGAAACATCAATGATGAGAGAGCATCATTTGCCTCTTGCACATACCACACTGGGGATCAAGCCCGCAACCTGGGCAATTGAACTATGACCCCCTAGTTTCTAGGTCGACATTCAATCACTGAGTCAAGCCAGCTGGGCTGCTCACGAATGCTTTTGATGAAAACACCATCAGTGGGCGCCCATGCCTGTCCCAAGGGACGTTTCCTTGGTGCTGTTAGAACCACTAATGCTCAGGCTGCCAGGGCAGTGTTGGAGTTTACACAGATGTGGGGACATGAGTTGTCTCATCATCTCTGAGGTGATGTTGTTACTTAGGCCCAAAGCAACCCTTCTTATCAGCAGAATCTAGCCAAGCAACTTGTGAATAGTTCCGTCAGTTTCTGACTGGTTACCAGTCAAAGGGGTTAGATAAGGACAGATGCCTTACCACGCGATTTTACTCTCTACTCCTCGTTATTGCATGTTCCAAATAAACCTCTCTCTGTCTTAGCTAGATCAAACATTGTGATGAGTACGCAACAGATGCAGGCAGCAAAGCATTGTGTTGGAATCTACAATGGTCATATAGTTTATTGTCCACATTGGGGCCCTTTAAATGTGAAAGAGGGTGCTATTCATAATGATGCCAGGACAGTAGGCCTGAACCAGGAGGGCCATGGTAAAGCCTTTGATCACCTTACAAAGATGACTTTCTGACACGCTCCTTTCCTGCCATCTGGCGGCAGTGTGGGAGATTGCAAGGAATGAATATGTACCATTTTCTACAGGAATGATGTATAATGTCTCTCCCAACCAGATGCTCTCTGGATCCATGTGATCTACATGTCCAATATGCTCAGTTATTGCCAGATGGTCGTGGCATGCCTTCCACAGCAATTCCTGATGGTCACGCGGGAAAAACAGAGCTCTATCCTGAGAATAGTCTTGTCGGACCTTAGAGACCAAATAGTGCAAGTCTCATATTTTAAAAAGGAGAAACACCGAGTCCCAGAGAGCTGAGAGCACTTGTCTTACAGCTAAAAAAATTTAAAAATTCAGAGTTGATTAGGAAGCAGGTTTCCTGACTTCGATTCCAGTGTCTGTGGCACTGAAGCAGCTGAGTGTTTGAATTTATGAAATAAAAGTCCATGCTCCTTGGGCAACTGTGCGAGGATCTGAAGTTTGAATTTCCTGGAATAATCCTGGAGTGAG